GCTAAATGCGCTAGCTGTCTAGCATCAAACGGATAATTTAATATCTACAAATTTTTATTGAACAAAGACATTAATATCCATGTTTACGATAGTTTCGACAGTCTGAAATAATCACGAGAAATATTATATTTAGTTTTGATACTTACATCATCATAGTAATTGATAATTCTGGATGAGTTTTGCATCCATCCTAAATTTTTCAAGATATTTTTATATTAAAAAGTTATTTTAGAAAATAATAAGAAAATTATAACAAATGAAACATTAGGTTGGGATGACTTTCTTACTGATTTATAAAGCTGTTGTAGAAGAAATGAAATTTATTAAGTTTTTTTAAAAAGCTCTGCGAGTGTAACCAAATAAAAATTATGATTACTTGGGATGTCTTTCTTATTGCTTTATAAAGAAAATTTTTACTTTAAAAATTTTTATTTTTGATACATCATCACAAAATTAGCTTGATCAGGCACGAATCTCGAGGCAAAAACTAGTTGGAGACTTCAAAAATTAAATCCGGGAGCATCCGAACTCCGATTTCAACGATCTTACAGTCAAACTGAGCGTCTCGGAAATACGAACCCAAAAACACCAAGATCGACCCAATCCGAGCCCAAATAAGTCCGAATCAAGAGTTCAAAGCGCTGTTGGAAGGTTCAAACCGCAATTTGAGTTACCAAACGGTCTCCAATTTTTACGAGCTTATACTCGAATCGAACGGCTCGACGAGACGAATCCAACGAGCCCAAGATCACTAAATTCCGACATCATTAAAGCCTCCAAATGTCCAACGAACGGTGAACGATCGTAGGATTCAATATCGGCCGTCCATTGGACCACTCCCTATTCGCCCCTGATCTCATGCCTATTTACGGACCATGCCACTCTAGAAAATCTATAAATAGAGCCCTCATTCTTCACGGGCTAGGCCCCGTGGTTTTTCCCCCTTTTTTCAGGGGTTTTCCACGTAAAAACTTTGGTGTCTCTTATGAACGCTACACCCTCTCACTTATCTGATTGTGTGCTGGATCTTCGTACAACGCTAAGACGTTAAACTATATATTTCTCTACCGCCGCGAATATTCCAGGACGCAACAATGGGCATGAATCTCGAGGTAAAAATCAAGTTGAAAGCTTCAAAAATTAAATACTAGACCATATGAACTTCGATTTCATAAAACTTACAATCGAACAGAACGTCTCGAAAATACGAACCCAACGACACAAAATTCAACTCAATCCAAGCCCAAATGAGTCCAAAACAAAAACCCGAAGCACATTTGGATGGTTCAATCTATAATTTGGATTACCAAAAAAATTTCAAATGTCGCATGCTTATAGTCGAATCGAGCAGCTCGACAAGACGAATCCAACAAGCCCAAGATCATCGAATTCCGATATCATTAGAGCCTTCAAATACATAATAAACGATCCACAATCAAGAGATTCAACATCGGCCGTACATTCAAACCACTCCCAATTTGCCCATGATCTTTCTCCTATTTGATAAGGAGTCTTGATAATGAGCAACTACCTATAATAAGACGGCGTGCTTCTTCACTACTCTGCTCCACTCCTCTGATATTCGGCTGTACCGGTTTTATCTCCATCGTCTATTTTCTGCACTTTCATAATGGTATGGCTTTTATATACAGCCCTTGTAAATGTCTTCCCTGCATCGGAGATTATGAAGATGAACAATGATCTGTTCGGAAGTTCTCTGCATTTTGTCATATGTATGATTTCTATTTTTCATTAACTCTGATTGCAGGTTAATGTCACTGGAGTTGAACTTCTACATGGTATCAGAGCTCTAGGTTTTTTTTTTTTCCTCTTCTCTCCATGGCTACGTCTGGTTCATCTACTTCTTCTCCGGCCACTCTTCTTCCCGACAATGCTATTGTCTCTACAACTCTCATTATACCTCCACAGCTTAAATTCTTCATGGCGAATGTTAAAACCATGGTCACCGTTCAGTTAACCACGGACAACCATCTGCTATGGAAGTCGCAGCTCTTAAAGCTCTTTGCGGCTAACAATTTTGAAGGTTATCTCACTGGAGCTTCTCTTCAACCTCCAAAAGAAATTCTCGCTGCTGATGGAACGACTAAAATCAATCAGTCATTTCAACTTTGGATGCTTATTGATCAGCACCTTGCCTCTGCCATTTACTCGACGATTTCTTCCTCATTGCTTCCGTATATTCTAAATCTGGCCACCACTCATGAGATTTGGCAAACACTGGAACTCAGACTTCAATCAACAAATCATTCACGGCTTCTGCAACTCAAAAATGAATTACATCAGTTACAGCTTGGTGACAAAACTATGTTTGCATATCTCTCGGATATCAAGTCCAAAGTTGATGCAATTGCGGCAGCCGGTTCATCCATTGATGTTGAGGATATTATCCTTTATACCATTAATGGATTACCATATACATATAACTCTTTTAAGGCCATTATTCACAATCATCTTCAACCAATTTCTTTAGATGACTTCTATGCTCTGTTATGCAGTGATGAACTACATCTCACTGCTGAAGCTCATCGTGACAATCTGCAGAGTTCCACTGGTGATTCTACCTTTGCCCTTACTTCTACTCGAGGATCCTCCAGGACTCGTGGTTCCTCTTCCTCAAACTATCGCGGTCGTTCTTCGTCTGGACGTTCCCCTGCCGGACGTGGCTCTGCTCGTATTCCCAATGGCCGTGGTTATCCATCTACTCGTGGTGGCCGTCGTAATAGAACCGTCATTGATTGTAAAATATGTGGAAAACCCAGACATTCTGCAATCCACTGCTGGTATAGGCATGATACTTCCTATACTACTTTACCGCAAGCATATATTACTACCGATTCAGCTCCTGCAGTTGACTGGTACCTAGATTCTGGTGCAACTGAGCATTTAACTTCAACTCCGGCTCATCTCAACAACATCCAGCATTATACCGGCTCGTCTCAAGTACAAGTTGGCAATGGTCAGCAATTACCAATTGCCAACACTGGCCAAGGCTTGCTTCCCACTCCCTACCGTAAGCTTCACCTACCTCATGTCCTTCATTTTCCCCATTTGTTTCATAATTTGTTATCTGTTCATAAGCTTACAAATGACAACTCTTGTTTTGTGCTTCTTGATGCCCATGGTTTTGCTATCAAGGACTCCCGGACCAACAAGACTCTTCTCCACGGACCCACTCAACATGGTCTTTACCCAATTAAGCTTCCACAGTCTTCGGCTTCTTCCATTACTGCTTTGGCTTCTTCCACCGCACCATCTTTTATTTGGCATCAACGGCTCGGTCATCCGTCATCTTCTATTCAGCAAGGTTTATCGTCTTTACTATTATTTAGTCCTAGTTTTGTCAATTTGCATTGTAATGCTTGTTCTCAAGCAAAATGTACTAGGCTTCCCTTCTCTCTATCTCAGTCGACTACTACTAAATGTCTAGAACTTGTTCATAGTGATGTTTGGGGTTCTTCCCCCACTCCATCAATGCAAGCTTATCTTTATTATGTTGTGTTCATTGATGATTATAGTCGCTATACGTGGATCTATCCGTTATGTCATAAATCTGAGGTGTATACAATTTTTTTACAATTTCAAGCTCTTGTGGAAAAACAATTTCAACATCCCATTAAGATTTTAAGAACCGATGGTGGTGGAGAATATGTCAACATTATTTTTAAAAATCATCTCACTAAATCTGGTATAATTTATCAAATTTCATGTCCTTATACTCCCCAACAAAATGGGGTTGCCGAGCAAAAGCATCGACATCTTCTTGCCACGGTTCGTGCTCTTCTATTAACTGCTTCTCTACCTCACAAGTTCTGGCTTGATGCTCTTCTAACTGCCACTTATCTTATTAATCGTATCTCGTCTCTGAATACTCAAAACCTTTCACCTTATGAGCTTCTTTACAAAACTCCTCCCAACTATAATTTGCTTCGGGTTTTTGGGTGCCTCTGTTATCCATGGTTTCCCACCAAACTCATACATAAATTAGCTCCTCGCTCCTCTCCATGTGAAATTTGAACCCATTAGGGAACGATATGATCGTCTTTCGAGGTGATATATTGTTCATAATGACGCGTTCAATTTTAAAATTTAAAATTTAATCTTCCCAAAGAAAACTAATATATTTTCAAAACTATATATATATATTTTTTAATCAAAACACATGTATATTTCTTGGTTATGCTTCGCCTTCCAAAGGATATAAATGTTTAGATCTTCACACATCTCGTGTCTACACCTCTCGTCATGTTCATTTTCATGAGACTATTTTTCCCTTTCAATCAAATTCTACAACTATCTCTTCTTCAACGCCTTCTGTCTGCTCTACATTTAATCCGGCTACACTAATACCTGTCTCTACTATCTCTCCACGTCAAGCCACATCATTCTCACAACTTCTGCCATCTAACACATCTTCTCTTGAAACTTCAAATTCAATCTCGCAGCAAATTCCTAGTTGTCCGTCTACATCTTCCTCCAACCCCCCAACTATCAACACTTCTCAGTCTATTCGGCCTCCTTCAAGGCATACCATGGTAACAAAAGCACAAACTGGACATCTTAAGCCTAAGCAAATACTTGATCTCAATCACACTATTATACCCACCAATCCGACCAGTTTTACTGAAGCGTTTAAGCATGCGGTTTGGCGAGATGCCATGAGCCAGGTATTAGATGCTCTTCAAAAACAAGGAACCTGGATACTTGTTCCACCACATTCAACTACAAATATTCTAGGTTGTAAGTGGATTTACAAAACCAAATATAACTCGGATGGTACTCTTGCACGCTATAAAGCTAGACTAGTTGCTCAAGGCTTTAAACAAGAGCATGGTTTGGACTATCATGAAACATTCAGTCCTGTAGCCAAATTTTCTACCATTCGCATTTTTCTAACTGTTGCTGTCACAAATAAATGGGCTATATTACAGCTAGATGTCTCCAATGCGTTCTTACATGGACCCCTTTAGGAGACTGTTTATATGAAGCAGCCGGCTGGCTTTACTGATTCTCAATTTCCAAATCACATTTGTCTTTTGAAGAAGGCTATTTATGGACTTAAACAAGCGCCGAGACAATGGTTATCTACATTCTCTTCCTATTTGCATCAATATGGTTTTCATACCAGTTCTGCCGATCCTTCACTGTTGATGTTTCAGCATAATTCTGATCAAATTTATATACTCATATATGTGGATGATATTTTGATAACCGGTAATTCACCGAATGCAATTGATAAATTATTGGCAGCTTTACAAAATCAATTCTCAATTCAAAATCTGGGGCGTCTACACCATTTTCTGGGGTTAACTGTTACTTATACTCCTAATGGACTACACTTGGATCAATCCATGTATGCTGCCACTCTTCTCCGCCGAGCTGCAATGGAAAACTGTAAGCCTTTACTTACACCACTGCCTACCAAGTTTGTGACTCACTCTACATCAGAAATTCCATATGACAATCTTGAGCATTACCGGCAGCTTACGGGTGCCTTACAGTACTTGACCATTACCCGTCCTGATCTTTCTTATGCCGTAAATTTTTTGTGCCAACATATGCACACGCCACTTCAGTTACATTACAAGCTTTTAAAACGGGTTCTTCGGTATGTTAAAGGAACTCTCTCACTTGGGCTACCTATTACTCCTTCCAATCTTGAACTTCAAGGTTTTGCTGATTCTGATTGGGCCACGGATCCTATCACTCGTCGGTCGGTTACTGGATATTGTGCCTTTCTTGGCACGACTTTAATTTCTTGGATAGTTAAGAAACAAACTTTCGTCGCTCGTTCTTCTACGGAAGCTGAGTATAGAGCGCTTTCCACTGCAGCTTGTGATTTGATCCGGCTAAGAAGGTTACTCTCTAAATTTCAAGTGCAATCTGTCGAGCCTACCATTCTATATTGTGATAACATATCTGCTTTAGCATTGGCAAATAATCCAGTGTTTCATGCACGCACAAAAAATATAGAGATTGATTTTCATTTCATCCGGGATTGCATTCGGAATCGTCATCTTGAAGTTCAACATATCTGTTCTACAGAACAGCCTGCTGATCTCTTCACAAAGGCTTTAAGTGCTCAACGACATCTTTACCTTTGTAACAAGCTAACACTACAAACTGCTACTGTTAGCTTGAGGGGAGCTGATAAGGAGTCTTGATAATGAGCAACTACCTATAATAAGATGGCGTGCTTATCCACTACTCTGCTCTACCCCTTTGATATTCGGCTGTACCGATTTTATCTCCATCGTCTATTTTCTGCACTTTCATCTAAACTGTTAATTGCTAACGGTCTGGCTTTTATATATAGCCATTGTAAATGTCTTCCCTGCATTAGCGATTATGAAGATGAACAGTGATCTGTTCGGAAGTTCTCTGCATTTTGTTATCTGTATGATTTCTGTTTTTCATTAACTCTGATTGCAGGTTAATGTCACTGGAGCTGAACTTCTACACTATTTACTGGTCATGGTACTCTCAAAAAACTATAAAAAGGGTCTCCAAGTAATAAGAGAATGAAGAGACTCCTCCTCGACCACCACCGGTCTTTCACCCGGCAGCCGACCGACACCAAAATTAAGCAAGGAAGCAAGAATAGAAGTAAGAAGAGAAGGAAAAGACTCCTCTTCTGTGACGCCCCAAGATCTAACTTGGAAAGAATCTCAATCAATTCATTAAAACCATTTACCAGAGCTATCTATAACTTCAAACAAACAGTCTAGCAAAAAATCTATAACATTTATAACATCAATGTACAAGTCGATTCATATCTCAAAAGATCATATACAATACTCAGGAGCTATATTATGAACTGAAATCTATCATGTCCTGAGTACAAAAGAATCACTATAACCAAAAGAACAAAAACTTGGAGATTCCTGATCAACCTCAATCTCCTACTCCCTTGCCCTGACCTGAAAATATTAACCACATATAATGAGCTTCAAAAAGCCCAGCAGGTCACCTAATACCTATAACTGAAATCAAAGCACGGTACTAGAAACAATATGCATGTCAGTCAATCAAATCCATAACAGTCTATTGCACATGATCAATGAATCTATGCAGATACGAAAATCAAATTAGTAGTCAATGCAGCGATAAAAGAATCAATAAACAGTAGGAAATCAATCGATCAGTCAAATCAATCGTATCAATCAAAACAATACTATCTGGTCAATCGGTATGAAATCATCAAATCAATACAATAAAGCCTAGTCTATACTAGCAATGAATCCAATGCAGCAGTTCAATACAATGTAGAAACAATAGTATCAATGAATCAATTATAGTATCCATATCCATATAGTGATAGCGATAATATCAATCAATATCAATGAAATCGTACGATAACAGTAAGTCCGTAAATCCGTTAGTAAATCCAAATCAATAAAGCAATAAATCCAAATCTATAAAGAAATAAAACCAACACGAGTCAATGCCGTACACATGCATTTCAATACAATAATCTTACTGGACAAGTACAATCATTGGCTATTAATAATCCATAGTGCTGTTGTAGATATCCATAGTGCTGTTGTAGAAATCCATACGTTGGTTCAATAAGAGTTGTCACTCTGTGCCCGTCGACATATCAATCTCCTTATGACTCCCAATCGTTATATCAATGACCAATAGTTTAAAGGAAAGCCCGTCGGCCAACCATTCTGTACAGGTCAAGTCAATCTCCAACCAACGGCTCAACCAGGCTCCACTTGTCTTTCAGTATCAATAATCAGATAGTCACATTCGTATGCATATCAATTCAAATCATCAATTTCGGAAAATCGGAAATCGTACGAAAATCCAGCGGCATAACGGTAGTATACGGAATTTACACAAAATTCCAAAAATCACAATTTCACCAAATTACCATAGAACGTTCACAACAATATTATAAGACTTTTATTCTACTGAAACAACATCAATCAACATCATGATAATTATCTATTTGATCAAAATCGCGTAGAACCCAAAATAACCGGTAGAATCGTTACAGAAAATACTCAAAACATGTAGAATAATCATATCAATAACATATCAAAAGTTATGCGGTGAAAGTTTCATCAATAAAAAATGCGGCGCGTTTTCCGATAACGAAAACACAAATCTGTGCCCAAAACGATCAAAACTCAACATCTTCGAAAACTGAAATAGGATTTGGAGTCCTTACCACGAGATAAACAAATTGCTCAACAGCGGCGACGGACGAAAAGCGCTCCGCGACCTCCGAAATCTGGCTTTTCCTTTGCTTTCCTTCTCTTTCTCTCTCCTCATATATTTTGATTTTATAAAAAGTTTTTCTCTCTCCTCAAATCGAACTGATTTCCTTATAACATCAGTCTGATCGGCCCGGCCGATCGCCACAACGTTCAGGACGATGTGAACAAAATCCAATCGTCCAGGACGATATTTCAGGCCGATAATTAATTTGCCAAAAACCTTTGCTTTCGGGATTTTGCCATGCACTGATCGTCCCAGGACGATCCCAAATCAGCCTGGACGATCCTGGGAGGAAAAAAATCAGATCTAGAAAAGAGAAAAATAAAGGAACGAGCTCTCACAATCTCCCCACCTTAGAAAAATGTCGTCCCGACATTTCCCTAAGGGTCCGGAGCAAAACGAGACAAAACAAATCCGTCCAAATCGAAATCAAAATCAAAACTCAGCGAAAATCATACAAATCACACAATCCAGTCAATCACATGTCACTATGCGTGGTCATATGTCAATCAATCAATTAGTCAAATCGTCTTACCAGCAGAACTTTTTGGTCGTTGTTGATCTTCATGATGCTGTAAATTGTAGATACGTGGCACCACTGGAGGAAGTGGAGGAGGTCGTGGCACAACAGTCTCCCTCTGACTATCTCTGACGACTCTATCAGTCATCCGGTTCCCTGATCTCTCACTGTAAGCTCTCGAGCCAATGGTCCTCTGTTGTCCTGTACCTGAATCAGTCCTCCCGTCCAATCCTTTCTGAGGGCAATTTGCTACTCTATGCCCTTGCTGTCCACAATGAAAGCACTGCCCCGTCAATAAGTAACACCGACCTGCATGTCGTTGTCCACAATGAATGCACTCGCTGGAACCAGAAGATATTACTGATGCAGATCCCGATGCAGATCCCCTTAAATCACCATACTTGCTTCTCTTCTCTCTATCCCTTTCTCTACCTGATTCCTCTCGTCTGGTTCATCTCTCCTCCTCCTGGTGTCGTCATATCTCGATAATGGCGTTGCCAAATCAATCTCTATCAGTCTGGCCCGCTCCACCAACTCAGAAAATTCATGGATCCGGAAGGGTACTAGTGGATGTCTCAGCTCTCTATTCAATCCGTGCAACTATAACATTTTTCTTCAACAGTAGGGATCAAATGAGAAGCATACCTCGCAAGTGCAGTAAACTCGGCCTCGTACTGCATCACTGTCCTGCGTCCTTATTCCAATCTCATAAAAGCTTCCTGCATTTATCGTTGAGCTGACGGAGGTACAAACCACATCCTAAACATTGTAGTGAACTCATCTCAGGTGATCTCAGCATTTGTCTTTCCCTGGAATTTCTCTCTCTGCTGTCCAATCCACCATCTCTCTGCTTCTCCCTCAAACAGAAACACAGCTAAAGGTAACTTTCGATTTCCCGGACACTGCATGCTGTCAAAGATCTTTTCTACCCTCATTATCCAATCTTCAGCA